TTGTTTTAATGAAAAAGGATTTAGAATCAACACATGTGGCCCAGATGTTTCCCAAATGTTAAAATTTGCTTTGTTTGACGGAAAAGAAACCATACATTTGATCCTGATACATTTCTTGTAGCAAAAAACATAGATGGAAAAAGGTAAAACAGCCTTTGTTTCTTCAAAGAATTTGGGGCGAACAGAAAAGATGTATGAATGAAAAACATAGCCAGCTTGTTTTACTAAATAGCAGTTTGTACTTCTAATAGTACTTAAGTTCGTAATTAATGGATGTGTTTTCTTTTTTCTTCAAAGATTTCTCCAATATCTTGTCCTTTACCATTGCACGTCATTGTATACATCTTCTTTATAGTGACGTTAGTACTCGCCCTTGCTCCCACCATGCCAAGTCCACCACATACTATTATGGTATAGACATGGCTAAATCCTCTATCAGCTGTCAGCCCCTGAACATTGCCAAGTCACAGAAACGCAGCTATGTATGGTTTTACATTAATAAAAGCCCCTTTCTTTGAACCATCTGTAACAGTGAAGGATATAATGCTATTTGTAGCCATCGATAACAGCTAGGCATATAATTTCTATCTTTGATTTGCTCCCAAAATACTTTCCTTCCCATTTCAATCCTTCGGTAGCCCAGGTGCTCTCCATGAGCCAGCTTCTGGCTGCCACCTCCTTCCCTCCCTAGATGGATTCAGGACTTCCACTCAGATATATACAAATGATTATAAAGTCCAGTCTGTGGGTCTACTCTCATTACCACGGTCACAGAGGTACTTGCATGTCCCACTGGCTAATCAGACTTCACCATGGACCGATTTGAAGTCCTTCATCCCTTTACCCGCTCCTTACCTCTCTGACTAGCTCATCTTTTACTACATTCTTATTCTCATTGTAACCTCTTACTCTGTACTTCATACTCTAGCCAGTGATGTACATGTTAGTTCCTTGCTAGAGCCAAAGGAAGTGAACTGAAATTTATGCAGAATGTTACTAGTACACATAAATACATATAAATATATAGATAATTGTCAGGGAAAATGCTCACAAAAATTTAAGAATGATTTATAAGTGTTTATCTTCATTGAACGTTTCTAATAATTTGCTTTTCTTAAAATAAGCGTGAATATAATTTTCCCCAAATGATCAGAAGTTAGGTAGGTAGGTAATCTGAAGTATACAAACCATGAGAAATCCTACCTTTGTCAAAGTTAAATTTTCACATCTTTAGTGTTACTGAGAATTTTATTTTTTCAAGATGGAATCTTGCTGTTGTCACCCAGGCTGGAGTATAATGGTGCCATCTCAGCTGACTGCAACTTCTGCCTCCTGGGTTCAAGTGATTCTCCTGCCTCAGCCTCCCAAGTAGCTGGAATTACAGGTGACCACCACCTAGCTAGCCGAGCCCAGCTAGTTTGTATATTTTTAGTAGAGACCAGGTTTCACTACATTGGCTAGGCTTGTCTCGCACTCCTGACCTCATGTGATCAGCCTGCCTTGGCCTCCCAAAGTGATGGGATTACAGGCATGAGCCACTGTACCTGGCCCATTACTGAACATTCCTGCCTTTGTCACAGGATCATTTTAGGGATCAAATGAAAAGTTCTATGTGAAAAAAAATGAGGCCATGAAGTGATATAGAAACCAAAGGTGATGTATTTATCCCGTTTCCCACTCAATGTAGTTTTCGTGTGTTTTTTTTTCTTTTGAGACCCGGTTTCAGTGTACTTAAGGTGACCAGGTAAGGAAGGGAAGGGGTATTAGGATATGAGAGGGCAGAAGCAAGGAGGGCCCAAAGAGATGAGGGCAAAGAAGAGCAAGGGAAGCTCACAGGGCTGACTCTTGAAGAATGGGAAGACATTCTGGACAGAAACAGAACGTGTGAAGATATTGTATGCTTGGAGATTGCAGATGCCGTATGGGGCTAGAACATTCTTGTTCAGCTGCAAAAACATCTGAAACCTGAGAAGGCTTTGGGAAACATGAGGAACTAGATGTGTGATACTTTGAGTTTTTCTAAATTAGTAACTGCTAATAGAGTAGCAAAAATTAATGGGGTGCTTATTCTGGACCAAATACTGTGCAAGGTCTTTTTTTTTTAAAGACATGGGGTCTCACTGCTGTCACTGAGGCTGAAGTGTGTTAACAGGGTCACAGCTCACCATAGCCTCAGACTCCTGGCCTCTAGCAGTCCTCTTGCCTCAGCCTCCTGAGTCAACGGGATTATAGGCATGAGCCACTGCACATGGCTTGTGCTAGGTACTTTACAGAAATTGTCACTTTTACTATTTCCAATAAAACTATGAGCAAGTTACTGCTACCCCATTTTACAGACGGAATTGCCATGCAAAGGAATGTTAACTTCATCCTGAAGGGAATGGGAAGGTCGTAGAAAAATTTTAAGCATGAAAGTGAGAGGCTCAAAACAACAAAAAGCAAACAAAAACAAAACCCTCATTTTTTTAAAGATAGCTCTCATAGAGTGGAAGCTCAGTGGCAGGGCAGAAAGACCAGCCTATCTAACCTACTAGACCAGAGCTGTCATGGGCTTCCATTGAGGTATGGTCATGGGAGGATGGAGAAAATGTGATATAATTGAAAGCCAGAAGGTAGATTTAGTAACATTTGGAACTCACCGGATTTGGACAGAGGACGACAGGAAGGGACACCTGACCAGTAGAGATGGAGGTAATGAAGGTGTGTTCCATGAAGATGAAGAATGTGGAAAGAAACAAATCGGTTTGGAAAGCAAGATGATGCATGAGGTTCTGGAAATAAGCTGGGTTTGAAGTGCCTAGTATCCATCCAGAGGGACATCTGCCAGACAGAAACATTGGTGTAGCCAGGCACGGTGGCTCACGTTTATAATCCCAGCATTTTGGGAGGCCAAGGCGGGATGGCTTGAGCCCAGGACTTCAAGACCAGCCTGGGCAATGAAGTGAGACCTTGTCTCTACAAAAAAAATTTAAAAACTAACCCAGTCACGGTAATGTATGCCTGTAGTCCCAGCTACTCAGATGGCCGAGGTGGGAGAATCGCTGAGCCGAGTCCAAAACTGCAGTGAGCTTTGATTGTGTTACTACACTCCAGATTGATTAGTGAGACCATTTCACTCACTCTCTCACACACAGACTGTAGAGATCAGGACAGGATCTCCAGAAGGTTAAACTCAGATTAACAAAAGCCCGCCTGCACCCCGTTCCCCCGGAAATTCTGGCTTACGGGCAGGATATTGGGGTCACCACTGTACTGGTGGAGATGGTGCGGGCCTCACCGACACCCGACCGGCACCCCAGCACAGTTCTCTGCACGTTTGTCCCCAGAACCCCAGCGAGGCCGAGGTGGCGAATTCCCTCCGTAGCCAGCCGGCCGCGCCCACCGGGCGAGGTGGGTTTGGGCGCGAAGCCGGTCATGTAGCACTCCACCTCCGCAAACGCCAGGCGCTGTCCCCGAGTGTCCCCTGGACGCGGGCCCGAAGCCCCTCTCCTTTCGCCGCTACCCATACAACGCTGGGTCCCTGTCAAGCGCGGGAAGAGCCGGGCCGCCAAAGCCCGAAGCCGACGCCCAGGAGCGAAACGGCGTGGGCCGGTGGCGCCAAGGAAAGCGGTCGCCGCCCTGCCATGATAGCTGACCTAAGTTGATTGGCAAAGCTCAAGATGGCACTGCAGCCAGGGCACCCAACTTGACACCGACCCTGCGTCCTTTTTGGGAACCTAGCTGGAAATGCTTTCCCCGCTCTTAAAGCCGAAGGTGCACGAAGGGCAAGCGGTACAGCCTCTTCCAAGTGCTGCTGTGGGTGGCTCTGAAAAGAGCCTTTTGGATATGATGGAACCTCCGACCCGAGCGCGCACTTAAGCCCGCTCCCCGCGGATGCGGCGGGCCAGCTGGATGTCCTTGGGCATGATGGTCACGCGCTTGGCGTGGATGGCGCACAGGTTCGTGTCTTCGAACAGCCCCACCAGGTAGGCCTCGCTGGCCTCCTGCAGCGCCATCACGGCCGAGCTCTGGAAGCGCAGGTCCGTCTTAAAGTCCTGCGCGATCTCGCGCACCAGCCGCTGGAACGGCAGCTTGCGGATCAGCAGCTCCGTGGACTTTTGGTAGCGCCTGATCTCGCGCAGGGCCACGGTGCCCGGACGGTAGCGGTGCGGCTTCTTCACCCCGCCCGTGGCCGGCGCGCTCTTGCGGGCCGCCTTGGTGGCCAGCTGCTTCCTCGGGGCCTTGCCGCCGGTCGACTTACGGGCAGTCTGCTTAGTACGGGCCATAGCGAACCAAAACACAAACTTAGGCAGCCGCGGGGAGAGAAACAGGCTCCCAGCCCCGCGGCAGCTGCCTTTATAGGCACAGTCTTTTCGCGATTGGGCGGAGCAATAATTGAAAATCCCGCGCTGGCTGTCCATTGGCTGCGACGTCACCCGCCTTCGCGTCACCGGTTGGCTCGGGCGGAGTCCTCCTTAATCCCACCCACCCGCCTGGCTTTCTACTTTCCAGTTGGCCCACAGTTTCGCAAGCGTTCTTCCTCTTGCCTTCGGGGTGAAAGTTTTCCATTGCAGCTTGTTAGATTGTTGCCTGCACGCTCTTCACTTCTTTAGAACGCGCTGCCAGCGATGGCCCCCTTTCTTTCTGCGCCCTGCAGCTCCTGCAGGGAACCTTCTTCTGTTTCCACCACCCGCCCCAAGTCACTATTCGGCGGATGACTTTTCGACTGTCGGGTGCCTTTTGGGTGGGAGAGGTGTCCGTCCCCAGGGCGCAGGATTCCGCCTCCGAGGCCGGTACTCTCCGCTTGGAAAACAAAAATGGAAACCAAGACTAGGTCAGCTCAGTAAAGCCAAGACCCAGCTCGGCCACGATGGCGAGCGCTAGCCACTCAGGGCCCTCCGCATGGGGGTGGGGGCGAGGAGCACGTCCCGCTAATGCTTGAGGAGGTCTAAGTGCCCGGCCGTGGCTCCGCGGAGAACGGGGAAGCGCGCGCTTTGCACACAACTTAAGCGCGGTGGGTAGCGCCCCAGGCGCTGGTATTTGTTACTGTAGTGGACCGCGGCGCCCGGGACGTTTGGTGCCTCCACCTGCGCCGGGAAGCCCTAGGACGGGGGGACGAGATGCAACACGGCACACCCGAGACCCCCGCACGCTCACCCCCAGGTTGGCCGTTTGCTACTGAGAAAGGCTCCATCGAGTACCTAGCCGTCGTTAACAACTCTTTTATTTGAAAACGTGGGTGGCTCTGAAAAGAGCCTTTTGAGTTCACAGATGCCCCTTCGAGACGCGGGCCGGGCTGCGCTTCCGGACGCCAGCCTCACTTGCCCTTTGCCTTGTGGTGACTCTCCGTCTTCTTAGGCAGCAGCACGGCCTGGATGTTGGGCAACACGCCGCCCTGGGCGATGGTGACTTTGCCCAGCAGCTTGTTCAGTTCCTCGTCGTTGCGGATGGCCAGCTGGAGGTGACGGGGGATGATGCGCGTCTTCTTGTTGTCCCGAGCCGCGTTGCCCGCCAGCTCCAGGATCTCGGCGGTCAGGTACTCGAGGACCGCCGCCATGTAGACGGGCGCGCCGGCACCCACCCGCTCTGCGTAGTTGCCCTTGCGGAGCAGGCGGTGCACTCGCCCTACCGGGAACTGCAGGCCGGCGCGGGACGAGCGCGACTTAGCCTTGGCGCGGGCCTTGCCTCCTTGCTTGCCACGACCAGACATGACAGCGACAGCAGCCGACGGTACTCACTGAGAAAAACCTCTTGTCTAGCGACCGGGAAAGTCGCCGAATGTGCCGCCGCCTCACCCTTTTATACACAGAACGGCGATTGTCCATGGAGCACTTTGATTGGCTCAAGCACAGTTTGTGCAAATGGCCAATAGGACAGCTCCGCCAGAATCCACTCATTTACATAATCTCGTCTCCCTGCCGTTGGGCGCCGCGGAAAACTCGCGAAGCGCAACGCAGCGTCTTGGGAGCTTTCATGTGCGCTCAAGGCTCCCTAAGTGCAAGTGCATCGTGGCTTCCGGTGGACCCCGGTCCCGCGGCGCGGCGGTGCTTGCGTCCTTGGGGGGGCTGTGTCGCCAGTGCGTCGGGCCGTGCCTGAGCCTGCAAAGTCCGCCCCGCCTCCCAAGGTCACCAAAGTGCAGAAGAAGGACCGCAAGAAGCGCAAGCGCAGCCGCAGGGAGAGCTGCTCCGTGTGGGTCCACCCGACACCGGCATCTCGTCCAAGGCCGTGGGCATCTTGAACTCTTTCCTCAACAACATCTCCGAGCGCATCGCGTCGGAGGCGTCCTTGCCCGGCGCACTACAACAAGGGCTCCACCGTCACATCCCCCGAGATCCAGACCGCCAAGCGCTTGCTGCTGCCCGGCCAGCTGGCCAAGCACGGCGTGTCCGAGGGCACCAAGGCGCTCACCGAGTACGCCAGCTCCAAGTTTGCCCCTGCCGGGACCTGGCGCTCGCCCGCTCCCTTCGAGTCGCCGGCTGCGTGATTCCAAAGGCTCTTTTCAGGGCTACTCAACTGCCTCAGTGAAAGAAGCTGTTTTCCCACTTATTTCTGTGACTTCTACTTAGGGGTTTTTCCACAGCACCTACCCCTTTTTCTTTAGATGACCTGAGAGGAATATAAGGTAAGTCTATAATCTGTAGCGTGGTCGAACTACCGTGCAGTGACGTGATCATGTGCACATAATTTGCCTTTTTCAAAGTCAGACGGTATGCTACGGTTGCGGTAAATGTAAATCTACTCAGGAGAGTGGAGGAAAAAAAGTGTTAATTGTATTTATCTTGAGTTCGCAGAATTGTATAGTAACCTGAAACATTAATGCTTTTCAGACCACGCCTAACTATGTAAGTACTCTTTAATCCCGCACCTGTACACCTCGAGTCTGTGGTTCAAGTAATTTTTAGTTTACATGGCCTTCTTGTCTCAATTTGGTATTATTTCAGGTGCTGTGACTCTATAGGTAATTATTGCTGGGTCTCAGACGTTAAGTGGTATCAGAATAGTGTAATGCAAAAGCTGTTGTCATGCATAGTAAAGCTTTTGAGTCAAGTGTTGATATGTAGACAGTTTCTCATTGTTATAGTTGGGAATCTTACAGTCTTCTGGGCACTGAATGGCATGAAAAATTAGAGAAGTTCTAAAGGCCTTTATATTTGAGAGTGGATACCTTAAACAGTAGTGTTTCCTAAACAGTTCAAACTTATTTAACCCTGAAGCTTTCAACACACACAGAAATATGTACATAAATACATATTGTATATTCCTTAAACTTAGCCACATAGTTCCACTGATCCGAATCACTGGGGGCGAGAGGCAAGGGTTTACATCTGTGGAACACACCAGGTGATTCATAGGTTTGGTAACCACTGACATTTGGTTATGCAGTTGT